CCCAATGAGCCTTGCCCCATGCACACCATCTCTTCAGTGTTTTAAATAAATGCAGGCAAACACCACCACACATTTCTGCCCAAAGGAAGATGTTACGGGAGCAATGGTGTTATCCCCTTAGAGTGCACTTGGTGCAACCAAACCACCCCCACACCCCCTAGTGATGTCCCTGGCAACAATGTGCATTGGTCCCACAGTGCTTTGGTTCTGTTGTGTATCAGGATGGTGACTAGGGACTGCTGATGTGCATTAAGACATTCTTGCTAGTATCCCATTACAAAGCTTCACAATTCACTAACCACATTTCTCAGGCCCTCTGCTAGGCAGCTAAGTTTGCAACAAGTTAAGTAATATAGAACATGAGAAAGGATTCTAGCCATAGTTTCAAAGCCTTCAAAAGGTGATATTTATGATTACAATTATATGTGTTTAAAAATAAATATTTGAGATAGGCAGAGAGCCTGGGACCCAGCATAATTTTAGACAATGTTGAAAACTAATTTGAAAATGAATAGTATGTTTTAGCTAAAGGGAGGTATTTTTGGCCAATTTGTTTAAAGGCCCATTTGTCCCAAAATATAGATGGAGGCATACCCAATGTAGATGGATTTAAAACCAATCATCCTACAAGTATATGAAATAAATAGTAAACTCTATGAAATAAATAATAAACTCTATTAAAATGATTAATATGTTTCCATTGGTTCTTTTTAGGTGATCCGCAAAGGAGAAGTCAGTTGCTGTTGGACTTGCACACCCTGTAAAGAAAATGAATTTGTTTTTGATGAATACACCTGCAAGGCCTGTGACTTGGGTTCTTGGCCCAATGAGCACCTCACTGGTATGTAGACTATGCTCTCACAAGTGGGACCTGCAGCAAAATGTTGCAGCATGCAGTGCTTCTATTAGGGTTCCAACCAGCCACCCTTTTTGCTAGAATATTTTATTTCCAGTCACAGCCTTCAAATTCCCCACTCCCAACATAGGCTGAGCATTTTTTGGCCATTGAACATGCTCAGTCCTCACTATTCAGTTTTTAAATCTTAGGGATTCTTGGGTTGTTGTTTTTTTAATTGTTTGTTTTCTTTAATTCTGCAAAAGTTGTCTTGCTGGCACTAATCCTGCTAGCATGTCCTATTTATGCATAAGTGATGCCACAGTAGAGCTTGGAAAAGTTAGTTTTCTGGACTAAAACTCCAAGAATTCCACATCCAATATTGTCACTGTGTATATTAGAAAGATTTCTGTGAGTTTATAGTTGTGATAAAGCCTGTCATTATTTAGTAACTATTAATCAAGATACAGGTCAATCCCCAAATCCTCAAAATCAATATCTGTGGTTCCAGTTATCTGTGGCTGGGGAAAAAAAATAGGGATACATACCATAGAGTCATGCTGGAAATGCCTAGTGAGATGTCCTCTCTAGGAATCTCTAGATTCTCTAGGGCAACACTGGTATGCTAGTATCAGAAGGGTTCGCTATTATCAAACTACAAATCCCAGGATTCCACAGGATGGAGTGATGGCAGTTAAAATGGTGTCAAACTGCTTTATTTCTGCAGTGTGGATACACCCAAAGGAGCTGGGAGTTCCTGGTTGACTACCCTACCCCACCCCACCCCACCTCCCCTCTCTCTTTTAGACCAAGGGATTAAGACAGAGGAAGAGCTATGATGGTGATCCAAACTTTTCTAGGCTCTAATCCACACTGAGAAAATGTTGCTAGTAGGATATAGCATGCCAGAGATGTTCTTGAATTTCAGCATTGGGCGGAATCGGAACTCAAGCATGTCATAAAATTGCATCTGCAATCGTGTATCAAGAGACTTACTTATGAGATGTAGCTATGATAATGCTCCCACCCTGACAACAAACAAACCTTTTCTCAGCTGCAGACCCCTGAACCTGGCTATTTCCTGGCTGGCAGAGAACTGTTTCCTGCACCCAACATCCCGTCATTGGGGACCTATTCTGTGCAAGATTTCATTTTCTGTACAGAAAATAATGGCTGGCATTCACTATTCCAGTTATGGATTTTTTATCACTGTATATTCAATGAGATTGCATAATCTTACTATAAAACTACATAAATGCCACCCCAACCAACCTTAAGTGCCAGCAGCCAGAATGGATGAAGGAGGCCCTTTCAGTAAGTTTGAATTTTGCAAAAAATAAGTCCCAAATTGCAGAGATTCTTGTCAGTCCAAGATTCTCCTGATCAGGGTTTCCTGAAACATGTGAAACGTGTTCTTCAGCCATTTACTGAATATCCTGAACATCCTTTTTATGCCTACAAAATACATTATGGGAGTATGAGTATTCTTTGCCTTAAAAAACCCTATGAAGTGCATAGGATTACCATGCATGAAGTAAAGGGACATAAACACACAGGTCCATGGAAAAAAACAATGTATTCTTGGGACATAGAATTTTTTTTTGTCCTGGCTGCTTTTTTGTTTGCTAAAAATATCACATGGGAAATGGATGAACATTGAGGATTTTTTTTTTCAGTTGTGCCAGTGAAGAGTGTCATAAAATGTCTATGTTGTATGTATAGGTCTGTGTGAATTCAGCAACAGACTATGACTCTGCAGGAAATGAAATTCATGAAGGCCATGAGATCTGCCCTGAGCTCAAATATGGACTTTATCATGCAAGGGTTGATAAGTGGAATTAGAGTGTTGGTGGCTGTACCTGATGATGCTCTTTCTGTCCAGCAGCTGGTCCATTCATTGCTGGAGTCCTCTTTCTCATTAATGGGCAAAATCTATCAGTGCCTCCCAATCCCACTGTTTTTCCACTATGGAATGAATGTGATAAGTTCCTCCCGAAGCAGTTCTGATATGTAGGCAGCCTCCTCAAGCCCACCTTAAGAGCCAGTAGCCACACTGAGCAAAGCAAGCTGCCAATGGAGGTGCAAGGAAGATGATATTTCCAGCTCCTTCCTACCAGCAAGTGAGGCTGCAACAATCAGAAGTAAGGGGGGTTGCAGACTGCCAGAAATAGGG